CTCGTTGATCTATTTGGGAGTTACACCCACCACTGCGAATTGCCTTCAGTACGGCGTCCTCATCAGCGAACAAGGGACATGGATCATGAAGGCATTCCATATTACAATAAAGATCCTACTCTGGAAAGAGCTCTAACCATCGCTCATTCAAGGCGCGCTTAAATGCAGTCATGATTCCTAAGTCTACTAATTCCTCTGGCAACCGGTTTCAACTGTTCACTACTTTGTTGCTGAAGAAGCTGGATCTAACAACCAGGTTGCAATGCTGCTTATGTAGTTTATACCCATTCCCTCTAGTTCGTTGATTCATAGCCTCTTGGAACATGCTCTCTTTTCTTCCTCCCGAGAGCCCTTTGACAATCTTGAAGGTCTCCAGTAAGTCTCCTTATAGCCTCTTCCTTTCTAGCGAGAAGAGTCCCAAGTCTTTTAGCTTGTATTGGTATGACTTACCCTTTTGGCCTTCAATAATTCGGGTGGCTAGTCTTTGAACTTTCTCTAAACAGGCTGCATCCTTTTCGAGGAAGGGTGCCCAAGCCTGCACGCAGTACTCCAAGTGCGGTCTAACTATGGCTTTCTACAGGGGTAGGAATACGTCGGGTTTCCTACACGATAGTACCGACCTGAGCCTGAACAGCTCTATCCTCGCCCTCGCTGCAGCCAGTACACACTGGTTCTCCCAGCGGAAATCTGCCGCCACCGACATTCCTAAGTCTCTGTTGGTTTTTGCAATCCCTGCAGTGAAATCCCCTCCACCTAAATGGATTGACAACTGTTCATCAGCACGGGAAAGTAAATTGCTTTTCTCTGCATTCAGTGGGAGGTCCCACATTGTTGCCCATTCCGTTGCTCTTCGTAGGTCATCCTGTAATTGCTGCCGACTGGCTGATCCCACGATCTTGACATCAGAGATGAAGCAAAGATGAAGCTTGGCGAACGTAGGATGGCAGACAAGTCGTCTATAAAAATGAGGAACAGTAGAGGACCAAGTACTGAGCCCTGTGGTACTCCACTAATGGGTATGGCTTTGGCCGATACTTTGTCTCCTATCCTCACGTAAAACGTACGACCGGTCAGGAATTCCCTGATCCAGTTATGTATCTGCTCCCCTGTCCCCTTGTGTTTAGGCTTAGCTAACAGAAACCTGTGAATAACGGAATCAAAAGCTTTGCAAAAGTCTAAATAGCAGACTTGCACAGCTTTGCCTTCCTCTAACCTCAAGGGTATCTCATTTAAAAAACACAGTAAATTAAATAGGCATGATCTACCCGTGCTGCTGGTCAGTAAGCAGTGAGGTATGGAGTAAATGCTGTGCAATGCGCCTCCTCACTATCCATTCTAGGCACTTGCACCATATACTCGTTAGGCTCACCTGCCTGTAATTCTTAATCTGGAATGGTGATCCTCCCTTGTAAATGGCAACAACAGCAGCTGTTTTCCAATCCCTCGGTAGCTTGCTCTTGTTTGTCTAAACTGGCTTGGTACAAATCCATTAGCGGTCCCGCTACTATGTCCGCGATCGGCTTGACGATTGCCGGGTGGATTCCATCGGGCCNGATTTACTTACGTTCAGCTCCGCTAATATCCGATGAACCACTTCTAATGACATACATATTCTCCATTTCCTCTGATGAGGGGGCAAGATCCGGTAGTACCAGATCGTTGCGAGCAACTCGATGCACGCTACTGGAGTATGTGCAAAAGGCGTCTCTTTTTCCTGGTCATCGGTAACGGTCCTACCTTCCAATTGTAGAGGTCTCATCATCCTTTTATTGGGACCCCTGGCTTGAGCGAGCTGTAGTAGCGTTTCGGCTCCCTNCGTTACGATGCCTCGTGTACTGCCTCCAAGCCATCTGGGAACAAGAAGCTCGGAAGGCTTTCCAGCTTCTATTTCTACGTTTAATTGCCCTACTTACAGCGGCGTGCCACCATGGCGGCTTTTTCATTGAACATTTGCAGGTTAAGGGAGCAAACTCATCTTGGAGGTTCATCAGGTTGTTTATGATTATACTCCAGCTTCCCTCTACGTCCGCGTGCAGCTCCGAACTGTGCCAACTCAGTTGAGCTGCCTTAGCTCGGAGTAGATACACGTCAATCCTTCCAAAGTTCCTACACATCCCTTCANGGTAGTTTCAACTGAAGTGTCATCTTGATGAGAAGATGATCACTTTTACCGAAAGGAGGGTGATACTCCAGACTTTGTCCTTCTTCCTCCTGCACTGTGATGATCAGGTCCAACAACGACGGCTGTTGGCCTTCTCGATACCTGGTGTTCTCTTTCACGTGCTGAGAAAGGGCCCGGGATCGAATCCATTTGAGATAGGTCTCGCCTGAACCTCGAGGATACCTCCCGAGCTCCCAGTCAACATACCTAAGATTGAAGTCACCCATAACGTCCAGTCTGGTCGAATTTCGAGCTAAGTTGTCTAGTGCTTGGATAGTCTGTTGGTCCTCCCAATGCGTGGCACTAGGACCCCTATACACGCGGGTGATGGACATTTTTCTGCTATTTGTAATATGATCCACTGCAACTAGCTGCACATTGAGAGTAGAAACCGTAGTATTCGATTCTACTGGGTTTTTAGTAGCAGAGCTGCTCCTCCACCCTGTACAGAGCCACCCCTATCTGTTCTGTAGGTAACAAAGTTTTCCGGATCTATACTAGGTTTAGAATCACTCTCTGAGAGCCAGGTTTCTGTCATGCCTAGAGCGGTAGCCTTATGGGTCTCTGCTACCATCAGAACATCGGCCCACTTGTTTCTGACACTGTAAGTATTTGCATACAGCAGTTTCATCCTCTTCTGTCGATTTCCTATTTCGAATTTCTCCTCGGGCGAAGAACCCGAGGAGAACCCACGTTTTTTGGGGCCTCTACAACAACCTCCTCGCGTGGAGTTGCACATCTTACCGTACAATCTTGTCCTTTGGACTCTGATACCCTCTTCAGGGGCGTGCTAGTCACACGGGCCGTGTCCCCGTGCCGACCTACTGTATCACTTACTGCTGAAGATTGAAGGCAACTCTGCCATTCCTCTTCCAATATGTCCTCTACTATGACGACCGCTCTATTGGCCACTGGGTCACAGCTACAAAGACCCACAGCCCGCGTCTTTGCAGGTATCTGCTGTTGGAGCTTCGCTAGATTTTGGGGCCCGAGAAGCTGCCTTGGTTGGTCAGGGACTATCCTAAATCGTCCCTGCGTGCGATTCACCATCCAACCAGCCCTCGTGAGGAGCAGATTTCTTACCCCCGGACTGTTCAATTCTACGAGAATCGGTCGTGCTGAAATTTGCCTACCCGGCCCAGGGTTCTTCCAAACTCCTACTCGCAGTACCAAGTAATCCAAAATCAGCAGTGCAAAAACCTGGACACTGGCAATTCTGTTACGGTCCTGGAAACTAACTGAACTGAAGCTGAATTGACTAAGGGCGGCATCCGTTCCGGTGCGAGTCGATAGTCACTGGCAAAAGCTACCAAACGAAGCCGGAGTAGCAACCTCAGTGGCTGGATTCAAACACTGCTTGGACAACTTATTGGGTATTTTGTGCATCGGAGGAGAGTAAATGTGCCACGCTACGACGCATGTCTCCGCCCCCACCACTGTTCATTCCGATGGACTTCTTATTTCCTTCACTTCCTCTCTTCATCCCTCCAACAAACCCTGAACTGTCCTTCTAGAACTAGTATCTTTCATCCTTAATGGCTCCAAGGTTCTTGGTGTGTCTCTTCCATCGGAGGGCCCAGTGTGCAACCCAGCACTGCACAATCATACACTAAGTGAGGTGCTGTGGCTGGCGGTTCTCTCATAGTCGTTCGTCTACGTGTATTCCATTGAAGATGAAGCATTTCATCCTATTGTTGCAGCACCGGAAGATACTTGGGGGTTATCAGTGCAAGAAACTGGACGATATTGCAAGCGGCCATAAACGTCCTCGGCGCCAAGTTAACTGAATTAAACATTTTAAGGTACATATATTTATATGATGCTTCTTCAGTCGACCGATTATTGGAACGTTGGCCAAGTTCATGGTTATCTTGACTTTTCGGGGACTGTTTTGGCTACGCTTACCCGTTCATCCTTTGGGGAGTTACAACCACTGGTTCACCAGTTCACTACTGTTTCAGATACCTGGCTGTATTGACCCTAGGTTACGGGATGACGCAAACCACGGAGCCACACATTCCGTTCTCCGGACAGCTGTGATTCAAGCTTCACAGGTGGCGCCAGCAAAGCGTCTACGCGTTAGAGCTTCTAGACTACAAACCATAGGCCGATTGCGCCGGCCAACCAGAAGCCTTGCGGCTCAGACAGAATGCATGGCGCCAGGAATACGAGCACGTGGTTGGTAAATGCCTGGAGGACCAATGAACGTCTATCATGCATATTATTTAAACTCCAATATTTCTTCCAATAAATGAACTTCTAATTCTGAGGCTTTTTCCTCGTGTCTCGATTACGTGGGGTACCGTCGTCCAAGTACCAGTGTGAATCAGTGTCTCTGTGGTCTTCGCGATTTCTAATACGTGATTCGTCATTGGCGTGCCGGGCGTACTTCGGCTGCTACGCTGACCTGGATAAGCTGACAGTACCATGGTATGAAATTCGCCACATTCTGGAACTCAAGATCAGTTGTCCACGGTACAATCTCTGTGCTCTAGAGTTATGCATAGTACCCATATTGCCCAACGGCGACTCCATACCTTACGGCGAGTATTCATATAGCAGATGTCATCTATGGTAGCTAAAGCAAACTTACCTTAGGGCTCATTATTACGCTAAGGAGTGATGTCAATATTGCTCCAGATCCTCCCAAGGCTGAGACGTGACTGATATCCGACTCCATAAATTTGAAAGTCCATTCATTAGGCACCACCCACCCCGTCTCACACGCATTGTACTCTGCCCAAATCGTACGTTCACTCCTTGGCTTTATTCCTCTATTTTCTTTTACTTATTGCCCACCAAGATACATTTCGTTATGATCATGATCGATTAACTTGAATCTGTAACGCCAGGCACGTTGGGAACGTTGTGGCAGTTGGACCATGAACTGAACTAAATTAAACAGGACTGCGAAATGTGCTCTTTCATTTCAGCAGGAACATCGTACTGAATGCGCTTTAAACGACGTGTGCAAATACTATGAGTTTACTGTCGAAGGAAATTTAGACGCTGGATCAGCCATAGCCACTAGCAGCTCAGTGATAACGGAAACTGGGCAAATGTTGTCTCATGTTGGCTAATTGTCATGAGACAATACAATGTCACTTCTTCACAAAGCATTCTTCCCATGAATTGATTTGAATTTTTGGTGTTGTTCTATCGCATGAAGTGTATATAAGCAATCCCCATCTTCTTTTTGTTTTAATCGACCAATTTCAACTACCGGCTGGGGCACGTAATTGAAAATACACCTTGTTCTCGCGGATGGAGCAAAAACAGGAACACCTAAAAAGTAGTTTGAGTGATTTATTACGAACTTTCGAAGCGGTAATTATGACATAAATTTTTAACGTCGTTTAGTATGATTCTCATTACAGCGGTCGGCTTGAGAAGAGAAATTTACTACCAGCACTACAGCAATTGGATTGTAGAGTCAGCGAAGACGAACTTAATTCTGCCATAAAAGCTGCTGAGCTAAGTGAAGATTGCAATTTTTTTAGTCTAACAGACTTTAAGAGAGTGAGTTGAAAGATTTCAAGCGAATTCTTTCTACAGATTTATCAAGAGCTGTGTAAACATGATCCTCGTCTGACAACCATAGAAAACGTGTCCACCAAATCGCACCTTTTCCAGTACGGCTCATCAAGCAATTCCGTTGTTGATGATACACTACATAGCGTCAGTGAAGATGAGCAAATTGCTTTTTCCAGCTGGATGGAACGGTTAGTATTCAGTCGAATTCATCGTAGAAATTGCATTTCCTGTATTCAGTAATTTGAAAGACGATCCTGATTGTAAGAGTTATTTCCCATTTTTCGAAGACGGTGGAGATCTATATGAAAAGTGCAGCGATGGGATTCTACTATGGTGAGTGTCATTATTGTGAGAACACTTTGCTGCCTTTATTCCCGTACCCTTCATAATCAACCAATTACAGGGGTTGTACGAAATGAAGATTTTTAAGTAGGTTTGGTTCTAAGCTCAAATAATTTCTGTCAATTTGTTTGGGGTCATTTATATTTAAAATGTCTCATAACGTCAGTGCTGGTTCCCGTTTTTTCTTGAGTCTATTTCATTTTGGTTATTCTTTTCAAACTCTGCAATCAGGACCTGGCATAGACTCAGAGGTTCATCAAATTATACGGATCTTTTTTTTATATGCGAAAGGTTGCCTTTCTATTCCGGTCATACGGGTAATCCGGCGTTAACGGCCGTCCCATTCGAGTACTATCGAAATCTCGTCACACTCCCATTGAGGGGAGTCCATTTAGGAGGCATCTCACTCTATTGCTGCTTTGGTGAAATTAGACCTGAGTTAGATTTCGATCAGACTGAGTGACTACATGATCATTGTTAGTTGATTCTGATACACAGTTCCTGCCAATGTGAAGTACTGGCGAACAATAATCACAAGTTGTTCATTTCCCGTGGTAAGTGACTCATATCTACAGGTAGCAAAAAGATGTGTATCTAACATCCACTTGGAAACAATCCAAGAAATCTCTTTCACTCTCTGTAATATAGAACTGCAAGGCAAAGAGAAAATATGACGTGCGTAATGGTTATTTGCACTAATTTTGAGGTTTTGTGCTAACTACTCCCAGTTTATATGATTAATTCGTCGTGTAAATTCGACACGAATTGAAAAGCTGAAAGCACTGGATAGCTGTTTTGACTCGTTTGAATGTCGTCAGCATCTGTACTACGATTTCATCATATAAAGAAATAAAATTCTCTGTAACCCTCATACCATCCATGCTAGTTTTATGAAGACAATATATCACAACATAAAAATCAGTTGTGGGGCTTTTAAAAGCAACCGTAAAACCTCTTTAATGCCAAATATCTTTCGTCCGCTGTATTTAGGTGAGTTACCGTTTCAACTACTTTTGGTTCAGTAGGCTGGATGATTAGTTTTACTTTTTTGATCATTATTTGTTTACATAATTTTGATGGTCACACATTTCATCAGCAAACGTTTGATTTTTACACACCACGAAGTGTTTAAGTGTGCAATCACCGCCTTTTAGTTAAATTAACCGCCGCATCAAAAAGACAAGGTTTTGATTCTATAACCCCTGACTGGAACTCTTATGCAAAATAATTCAAAATGCTGATCTGTTTTCCATGACCAAATAAATGCGGATACTAAGAATGAGCATTATTCCAAAATGTTATTTTTTGAAAAAATAACTTTTCGTGGGTTTTGCCTTATAACGGAATACTTTTGGTGCGCTCTGTAACCGTGTTTTGCGATATAAATGATATTCGTCATGAAATGTGACTCTGAATTGGTAGAAATACATAAATATATATATATTTTATGTAAAAGTAAAACTTTCAACAAAAGTTTATTTTACTGTTTATATTTTAATGCTAAAAGCAATAAATTGACAATCTATTGCAGATTTCCTTCTGTTTAGGAAATACTTATATGATACCGACAAAGGTTAATGTTAGATATAAGACGCAAAAATAGAATATAGTTCGCAGAATACCCCAATTTTAACCAAAGTAGAGTGTTTTATTTGTTTTATCTCAAATAATTATAGAACCATACTACTAGACATCGAAGAATCGATTCATAAGCCGGATGAGTTCTGGCACTATTTTTAATAAGAACGACAGTGAAAAACGATACTACTTTGTGGCATAATCAATTTTCGTCTATCAAGAATTATAAGTTAATCATCCGAAGATTGCATGTTTTAAAAATAAAAAAACCTAAAATTGTTTGTTCACTTTCGAAATTTGTTTTGAAAAGAAGCTATAAAGATATATTTATTTATCACCGAATTGCGAGCAAGCTTGGTGCCAACTCAAAAATAAAAATAAAGGAACATATGAGTTTGTGATATATAGAAGAGTAAAAGGAAATCAGACAGTTAAGCTTACTGAATAACAATTTTTCCGTCTGTTTCACCGTAATTTCTTTTATATTTCTGTGTACCGGTATGTCGTTGTTTATGGGGCACAGGATTTCAACAGGAAAACCGTACAGCATTTGCCTCACTGACTTCTAGTTTGAGCCATATCTCTTAGCGTCTCTAGCCAACGAAAGTCCTCATCACTTGGGCCCCAAACTGGAAGGCGGACTGCAACAACCAAAGCCAAAGCTGGAGCCAGATTCTTAAAAGTTCTACACCATGTCATGGTCTGACCTCCGCGGTGCTGCTTCAAGCCTTTGTCGGCACGTGCAAAGGTAGCTGATGGGCAGGAATACGCTCTGAGGGTATTTAAATGAAATTAGCGAAGGAGCTGTATATTTAGGGATTAATCAATTTCCTCAAACGGATAAAAAGGATTCAACCCCGGTTATAAATTCCTAAAGTGTGATACGCAAAGTATTGAGACAACTCATCTATTTTTGATTTAAGGTGAAAATTAGTTTCCTATTAACTTTGTTAACAAAGATAGTGTTTACAACGATCATAAAGAGAATAGTAAGAAACATTTCACATTAGACTTTATTGATGGTGTTTTACTGTTTTCAGGAGGAATAAGACCTAGATAATTAGATGTTATGAATTAGGCTATAAGTTTTCTTCTTTTCCTTTGAGGCTAATGTATTTTACGAATTGATAAACAAAAACTAAATCAAATAAATTGGAAAAGGTTAAACAAAATCCAGAATGTCTTTGACATTTGATTTCAAAAACAGTTATAGACGTTCATTATAAATATCTCATTATCTACCAAAATGATGAATGTTTGGAAGAAATCTCAAAATCTTCAGTAAAATTTAATAATTCACTTACAAGCTTCCTTTGAATCATCTTTTCAAGCAAAATAATTAACTGTTCGTCACCCGGAACAATAGACCAAAGAGCAATGAACATAAACAAATCGCTGACAACCTTTCAAATGCATGAAAATATAACCTTGGCTTTGAACAGCGCTCGAGCAATCGGATGCAACGTTGTAAATATTGGGGCCGGAGACATTCTAAATGGAACAAAACATCTACTTTTGGGATTGCTCTGGCAGATAATCAAGGTAAGCTTCCGAATACTTGAAGAATACAACTGATTAGCAGTATATATTATGTCATTTGTAAATAAATAGTATTTTTATTAAGCGTCGTATTATAAAAGAGCGTTAAGTACACTTCGCAACCACTGACAATGTCGTCTAGGCTGGTGCTAAAACTGTTGCAAACAAATTGCTAGGCTTACTTAACAGGCGAAATGAAAAGTTACGCACAGCTACGGTCCGTTGAGACAAAAGATGCACACCTTCATTATCCACCTATTGTTATTCTTGTCTAGGGAAAACTTAAAACATGAATGTGTTCAAATATGTTTTATCTTGATTAATGCGAATGTTTCATTTACTTAACAGTAGCCTGAGTTCACTCGTTTATATGCTAAGCTAAAAGTTAAAAGAGTACTCACATATTTTTTTACAACAGAATGAAGACAAGTGCTGCGAAATATTACCATTTATTTCATTATCCTTGGCCGGTACAACGTATTTATACAAGAAATTTTTGGCGAATACGATGGTTCAAATATCAAATTGTTTCATGTTTTAGCAAGTGAGCAGAATGAAATAAATTTTGAAATCTCACAGTATTTGTCATCTTTTTGTTTTAATGAATTCAATTAAGAAGACCCACTGTTAGAAATCACATGTTTTCGGCTTTTTGATTTTTGTATCACTTAAATGTATATTGTAAAGGACGTACAATTCATTATTTAGGGTAAACGTTAAAAAGTCTTGAGTTAGATGCATTTAAAAAATGTTAATGTCATCAGTTTTGTACACAACGGTGGAATTTTTGCAACCGTTTATCTTGGCCTATGATACTTTTATTTATTCTCATAGGCTGGTTAAATGAGTAGTAAAATACACTCTGTGACAGAACAACATTTCATTGAACAATCATTGATATACTCGTAGCGTTTGTATGTTTCAACTTATTACTTCAATAGAACAATATCCTACTTAGATACAGTTATGGTAAAGCATTCTGGGCTTCCGAGGTTTAAGCTAAGTTTTATTTTTCATAAAATGTATATCATGCTACAGGTTTCGTTTCGGTCCGAAACTGAAGAATCAAAAACAGACTAGTAAAGTTCTAACTTTCATAATCTGGTTAAATTTTACAAAGACTTTGATTTAAACAAGCTTCAACAAGTTAAGTTAGGCTTGAGGTAGTATTCCAACAGTTAGATTCATCAACTCGTCATCTGGGAGGATTAGTATTCTATAACCGCCAATACCATCTGATATTTCTTATTTACTTTGTTTTGTATGGTAGTCACTCATACGATGAAGATGGCCACCATTAGAATACTAGTATTATACTTCGAGATACTTTCGTTTTAAACTTATATGAATAAGAGACTGATGACGAATGGTGATGAATAGGGGCTTTTTAAGCTGTAAGCATACTACATAGTACAATGTTACTTATATAACTCCCCAAATTGTTTATTTGCTGATAGAGTAATCATGAAAGTGTAGCAGGTTTCGGTATCTCTGATCAGCTAATCACAAGGATTTCTGGGCACTAGCCTGTAACATTTTCACTTAATAATTGCATTTACAATATCGCAGGTAATTGTCAGACTGCCTTGGCCACAACGAGACACACCCCTAGATAGACGTGACCTTTTGCATGACCCCGCGATCCAAACACGTGATGATACGTCCACATTCTAATAGTTTTCCCAACCGTGTTACGAACACATTCTCCCTACCCACACTTTCTCAACCACACATCAAAATCAATCACGACCGACGAATCACAAGTAGACAATGATGCACATTTCAATTTTAATTTGTCTATATCACTGTGTCAGCCCGAAGAAGTTGTCAAAAACGAGCGTTTTCGCTAAAACCACTGTTTTCTCTCAATGGGTAAGTAGTTTGTTAATTCGTAAAACGTATCACTTACCGTGATGAAAAAACCATAAAAGAAATAAACTGAGCGGAAAAATGTGAGCAAGGAATTCTTTCTGCCAATAGATAAGTGTGAAGAACTCATTTGAATGAGACTTATCTGTGTTTCCTAATGGTCAGTTTTAGCATTGTACTGCTGATTGCTTCAAACTAAGTGTTAGTTTTCCATTGGAGGACAAATATGAAGCGAACATAGAGCTCAAACTAAAATATTCACAGCATTGGCCACCAAAACTTTTCCCATCCATTTGATATCCCGTATGTACACAAAGTTATAATTTTTTTAATTTCTGTTCTTGTTTGACGTGTTTGAATTATGAAAATTCCTTAAATTTGTTAGAAAAAAATATGCAGAAGAAGTGACAATATTTTTAGTTTTTTTCAGAAACTGTTTACCACTAACCGAAAGTTCTTAGTTGTCAACTTAATCTATGATGCTCGTAAAGTGGTAGGCTGTTGTCAACTTTCAGTAACTGAAGTTTACTGCTCCTGTTTTTAGATTGGATTGCTGAAGCAGATAAATGTCGTAGCACATGCGGAACTGGCAACGCTTCTTGAGGGGGAAGAAACGATTTCCGATTTCGCAAAACTATCGCCTGAAGACATTTTGATACGGTGGGTGAATTATCATCTGCAAGGAACGGAGAGTGATACACGTATGCACAACTTTACTATGGATGTACGGGTGAGTATTTAATGTAAATATCCCTCTACGATATACCCGATAAAGTTTCGAATCATTTTCAGTGGTATGATCGAAGTAAGGCTGAACGCACTGTTAATCTGAAGTGAAATAATTACAGATCCTTTTGTAAATTAAACATGCTTAGGCGCAACCGTTCAAATAAGTAACATTGCATATGGCTTAGGAGTTACTGCGTTTGACTTTTGCTTGGTCAAAACTCTGTGGTAAACGCAATAGTTGTCCAGGTAACTCTGAAGGTAAACTCCTAAATGAATTCAACGGGATTCACCATTTAGACGTCCAAAAGTAGAAGTACATATTACTGCTGCTTGCTGCTTGAATTTGTGTTGTACTTTTGATATGGATAAAAAACATGGCAGCATCATATGAATGGATGCGAAGCAGCTGTATACGACCTCCGAAAACAGAATAACTGGTGTCTGTGGAAGACGGAGCCGCGTAGAGTCAGCACGAATATATGCTAATCTAGGAATGATTCTGTGCCATATGCTTGAACCCAGTACAGTCTTGCAACATTCAATGAGACCCATTTTGCATCCAAACACCGAAGCCAGTATGCTAATTGTGTACCAATTCACGTGCGTGCCAATGCGAGAGTGAGGCCGTTTCGATCCAATGAATCACTCCACATGCTGCTAATTTGCATTCGCACTACAAAGTCAACTGATACATAAGGCACTGGACACTCCGGCTTATCAGCGGCCATTCCATATGGACATGGTAAAATCAAACGTTGGTGCAACATTAATTATTTTACTCATTTTATAATTAATCTTTAGGGCAATAGTCATACACTGAACTAAACAACAATACAGAGGATTTTCTGATTTACGTGAGAGCTTTTGCGGAACATCCGTGGGGGGGGGGATCGCGACTTTCGCTAATGATACCAGTGAATCACAATGTGATTATCAACCAAAAATCAGTAACCAATCAGGTTGGGTTAGCAAAACAAAACCACAAATTCATAATCTTATGAATGCTTCCACTCGATATTTTAACTTCTCAATTTTAGTGATCATGCCGAAACTGAATGTATGAAATTATGGAAAACTTCGAAGTTTGCCCAACCTTCCCTATTTTTCTTGTTCTCTTTACATGGGTGAAAAACAGATTACAACAATGACCTTACAATTTTACATTAGCAAGCAATTTATACTGTTGACACTATCATAACTATGTCTTTTATACCAAATGATTACATTTGTATTTACGTTTTAAGTGTCATTTTTTTTATTTTAACAAGTATACATTGTCGTGGAGCGATCTTGATTGCTTTCTTTAGGTTGCCTATTTCCTAAGGCAATTAGGAGCTATGGGAAAAAATAAGGGCTAGTAGCTCTGTACAAATCAAGATGTGCAAAGCAAGTGAACTAGATCTGTGTAAAAAGTGAGTAGGTGAAAAAGCGTCACTATTTGCGACACAGCCATAATTCTCAAGGCCTTCACCAGGTGATCTGATGGGTTATACGGTTCAAAGTCAGAGAGTTCAATGATACTTTTGCAACTGAGAGCTCTCGTTACCGTTTTCTTACCCCCATTTTATGTGTTAAATTCGTTTACTTGGGCTGCCCGTGGGTAGTAGTGGCTAGTGCAACACACACCGAAAAACCTACCTAACGAAATGCGTAACAGATATCCCAGTCACCTCAACCAATGATGCTGACGTATTTGCTTCAGTAAGCAACCGCCCATTATTGGACAGCATTTCGCATATATTGAAGTCGGCTCGTATAATGTGATTGGGTCATATCGTCATCAGAGGTTATCTTGTGAAACAGAGAACCATTGAGTTTAAACAACCGGTGATTCTTTATGCCAGTTGTAAGAGTTTCAGTTATTGAAAACAAATTCCGGTAAACGAAATTAGCTGTTTTCCGATAAATTCATCAACGGGCCATTACAATTGTATACGGTCACTTGGGTTCGTCGATCTGGATTTGATCGCATCACACTAAGCACAAAAGTATGTTAAGATTGCTTACCTGGTATTCGTCTTGATTAGTTCATTGATGCGTCCCCCGACGAACCCAAATAACCGTATATCATTGTAATGGCCCGTTGATGAACTTATCGAAAAACAGCTTGTTTCGCCTATCGGACTTTGTTTTCAATGTGGCAATAGGCTTTTTCATTTACTGAGTTTCTGTTATCCTTCACAATGACCAATAAGTCAGGTAGTCAATACGATCGGAATTGTGCTCACAAACGAAACATCGGTTATAGCAATCAAATAAGATTTTAAGATGAATTAAAAAGGATGCAGGAATACACTTGATCATTTAATATAATGTTTCTAGCTAAACATATGCTCAGTTTGTTGATTTAGCACAGAAGTGCATGGACATTGTTGATTCTAAAGTGAATGTAGCACTGAACGAGAAACGGAAACATATTTTATTCACACTTGGAAGCGATCGATTCTAATTGCTCGATTAACATCCTCTGTATAAAAATTTCTTTATTAAGGAAAACGTAAACAATAAATGTTTCATCCTAAAGTTTCTGTTATATGATGATATTTGTCAAATTTTCCTCTGTTGAAGCATCCAAAGGACTGCTTACAACTTAGTTGAGTAGTCTCCACAAAGAGGAAGTTTATTTACCCCTATTAGTAATATTAACATCGAAATATCCAAACCTGTCAGTAGAGCACACTTGTGCAGGGCATCACGATGGACAATCTTTTATGTTCAAAGACAAATACGAGTGAATTTAGCTGTCATGCAATGCATCAAAAAGATCAAACAACTTTTGATGAAGTTTGTGGTGTTGAAATCATATAGGAAATGCAAATCTTTCAACAACCCAAAGCTCCCAGACGGACTCTAATTAATTACGAGTGACACAAAGATTTTTGTGATCAACCATCGTACAAACATTCTGAAACATATTCAAAATCAGCGTATCTAGATAAACAAGCCGCTCATTTGGTTTTCACGATTCGATTTCAACTCCATAGTATGGATCATCTTCAAGGCACAGTCATACTAGAATACGAATGCCCTAGTCTTTGCGAGTCATAAGAAAGCCTTGCATATACTTGACCCGGTTAACCTTTTCCCCTTCGGTTATATGCGTCTAACCGATAATGTTCTGATAAAGCTAAAAGCTTGCTACTATAATGAAAGCGACGACTGCCGTTGTCAGAATAATGGCGACAAGTTGGTAATTCAGCTGGAATCAAAGATAGGCTTGAACATGAATCCGTAACATTTGGTTAATTGGTAAAGAAAGAAAGAAGGTGAATGCGATAGGAAGAAAATGCGGAATCCATGAAAGAACGGTTCATGGTTGTCTTGCGAGTGTTTTACCTTGTTAAAAAAACTGAATATTCACCAAACTCACTAATATTTGAATTCAAGTATCAGAGATTATTATTAACACGTGCTCACTCGTTACTGTTATTCTATATAACGGACGTCTTTAGTCAGTTATCAACGCCGCGCATAACTTGTCGGAAGAAATCCTGACATTTCTTAACAGTTTACGAATCTATGAATTCAGAATGATTTAAAAGGCCCATGGTGAACCGAATCAAAAATCTGTGAGACTTTGCGTCTTTGTTACATTATATATTTTCATTACTAAAGTTCAGCTTTAGTTATATATATAAATATATATTGGGAATTTAATTTCGGGTTGGATTTACAATATTCTATTATCCCATATAGATTTCGAAATAGTTTATACAAGTTTTAGAAAGCTTGTGTCTTCCAAGTAATGTTCGGCAACGTACTTTTTTGAGTCCATTGTTTGGATTGGAATGCTGGGTGACAAAAGAACATTGCCAGAAACAGTGTTCGGTATTCGTTTTCACACATATTCATTCGCAAATTTTGAGAATGAAGCAGACCTGCACAATACTTATTATTTCTATATGATTGCGCTTTCAAGTAAGTGAAAATAATTAATGATTTACATAATTCTTTCATGTTTCCCCGGTTAAGACATGTATTCTTGAACTCTTTCTCTTTCACTGACAGTTAATCATTTTTCAGTTCAAGTTAAGGAAAAGCAAAAGACCATTTTACGAGTAATGTTAGATAACAGTTGTCTCTCTAAGGAAGTATTTCGCGTCTATAACTCAGAGTATCCAAGTGACAAATAGATTGAGATTTCCCTGAACGGAATACATGTGAAACGTCTGTCATGTATATTTGGCCATCTGAAACGTAGCAAAAAAGGGTAAACAAGGGAGGCGGTTTTAAAGACCGAACCATCATCAGTTTCAGCCCAGTTTACACAGATGTGAACTATGCATTTCCATTTACCAATTTTGAATGCTCGCTTTTGTCTACTTATTTGGCCGACCAATAAAGAACAAAATGAGAATAAACAAAAAGCCCAGAGCATTTTTATGGATAAGCCAAATGCGAATGTAAGTGAATAGACGCTCATAATTCACTATTCATGATAATCAGCCATCATCTGTTAGACACACCTGGGTTACTAATCGAGAAAATATAATTTATTAACAATATGGAAGTCACTGACATTGGTATGCATAATCTTTACAGAATCACTTCGCTGCAGCTGTGTGTATACTACAATCAGTAGAAAGGTCCCAGTAAAACTAATGTAAGACGGGAGCAACAACGGCCAACACATAAACTAAAGTGGTGGGGCTTTATCGAGAAAAATTGACATGATTAGCTATTCACATCTTTTTTGAGGTTGGGTTCGTGCTCGTGAATGGCTAGGATCTTTGCATACCTAAAAAATTTGGTATTCGTCTCATTGTTAATTACATGAAGTGATTCAGCTTAACCTATACTGTGATTTTCCTATGGGTTTAATTTAACTGAGGACCTGAGTACTTACTTTCTAGTACATAAATGCATGGATGTGAGTTTATAATGCATCGTTTTCATAATACATGACGGTGTGTTCGCCTAGTCAGTGAGGTAACTGCCTTGAAACTTGTCTAGACGATTAGTTGAACATCAATGTTTGAGTTGAGATGTCCCGTGGTATACAGAGGAAAGAGAGTCGGTTCTTTCACCAAAAGGACCGCTGTCCGTGGGATAGTAGACAAAATCCTTTCAATCCACTGAAAAGTAGACTCAGATGCCTTCAGTTTAAGTTCTTTCCTAACTGATTCGTGTTATTGCCTTTGTACGGCATTTGTAAATAATATCTTATTATCTGAGTCATTGACATGCTTCTCATCTTTAGTTTCACTTTTAAAAGTCAAATGAAAGCCATGAGTGGATAATCATCACATAGTAAAGTCGTTTTTTAGAGTTTGCTTACATCATCTAAGGCATCCTTTGTGCATATCTTAGGAGCTCATTGAGCTGTTGTGCTAGCGACACCAATCTTATATTGCACTGAGTTGAAGCTCGTGAAATGCAAATATTGCCCAGAACACGTGATGTTCCGAAAAACAGATTTTTAATCGATTCACTCGATCAATCAGCAATCCAAAAATACCTAAAACTCGATGCAGTCCTCCTCTTTTCTGTGATTACTGAACATGTGAAGGTGTATTTCATTGGATCGATGGAGTAGTTTTTCTTGACAACGAGTATATCATTGAAATAGGAACAATAATGATCTAGATGCAGAATACTCTAAGTTAGTTTTTGTTCCAGCCCACCGAAATCATGCGCAACAGTAAATCGTTGTGCATTTCATGTGAAAACCTGTCTATCGGCCGTCATATTTGTCCAAGAAACTAGAATCTTCAGTTTAATATTGATGGAAGTGGTAGTATATCACTGCTGGTTAATCCGATTTCTTCCCTCGATAGTTTCATACATAATCCTGATAGTTTTGTGAAACTAGACACCACGGAACACAAGCTGGACTACCATAGTAGAAATCCATCTCTGTTGTGTGTTTCTGTCTGTAGAATGTATACACATCTCAAAGCCATATCTAAAATTACCGTGAGAAGACGAATCATTCACCAGTATCGGCAGTTTAGCTAACCGTTTTGTCAAGGTATTTTGAAGTGAATTGGTTATACTCGGAGCAGATCGTAATATATCACGTATTTTATACAGCTTCGGTAGGTCACGAAAATGCGTATCCGAGTTGAGATTTGCAGGCAGATGTGTGATTGTTGTATTAAGTCAGTCTGAATCGGGATTTTTAGTACAGCGTCGATTTTCTCTTCTACTTCATTCAGATCACCTGGTTATTGTAGGTTTGTTATTGCTTTTGTGAATGCAGTGCTGTCTTCCTAAAATGTAGGTTCAAATACATTCCACGGATTACTGTATGAAAATCAGCATCTGAGTTACCAAAGAAAATTTCCATAGAAACATACAATCGGCCAGTTGATGCTAGTCTTGCGCGCAAAGACGACACAAATTGGGAATTAAAACAGGGATTGCGTGAACGAATGTGCGACCTGGTAAAAGATTGGCGTACATTTACTATCCATGAAAATTAGCTAAATAAACTGGATATTTGCTGCCAGAGAATTGTTTCGCCCATATCGATACTGATAAACTTGGAACTATTAACTCAGCTTGAAATCAAATTGATTTCTTGTATGTGACGGATTCGTTGCGATTAGTAAGTTTGATCATGAAGTAGAAAATATGTGATAGCCTTAAATGAATTTATTTGCAAATAATGTTGAAATTTTGGAATACTTAACAATAAATGTCAATTTTTATTTCAGAATTGCGAAGTGTACGCTTACCTTGTGGAGAAAATAGCACCACCAGAAAAGAAACAATTTATGCACTCTACCCGAGTGAGTTTCAGCTACATACTACTCATAAGTAACCAAGTGACTATTGTAACAAAATTCAGTTTGATCAAACTTAATACGGTAACAACGTACTACCACGATCATCATGCTACACCGTAAATTTTATTTACTCGTTTTACTTGAAAATAGTCGAAATCTTCTTTGTATTGAGCTGATGATTGGTGTCACTAACTTTTGCCATTTTCAATTCTATCATTTAAAGGCGATTTTGGATGCTGTCGACCTGGTTCAGCGGGCGGAAATGGTTCTTCAAAATGCGGAACAGTTGGACTGCCGAGTTTTCGTGCGACCACAAGATATTGTCAGTGGGTCACAACGTCTAAATCTTGCATTCTTGGCAAATCTATTTCATGGTTATCCTGCTTTGGATAAACCACCCCATGTGGAAGAGAAAGTGGCCGAGGTTGAAGAGACACGCGAAGAAAAAAGTGAGTGCACAGTTTGCTGTTGCGCTCCCTACTTCCCACAAAAATTGAACGGTAAAACACTTTCGTGTTTGCTCAAAGGTTACATTTATTTCAAGGTTTATTCATCACGTCTTTCAATCATTAATTTTGACTTGAAATCAATTGCTGGTAATCACGGGACCTATGATTTGAGAAAGCAAGTTGTCTCTTTTCCAGATCCAGGTGTTTTTACTCCTTTTGCTCCACCATACTAACTAGCCCACTTTTCTTTAATGTACCTTCATATTAAAGCATCGAAATACATATTATATCAGCATCCGTATCTTCTTTTTACCAAAATCAATGGGTTGGTCTAAAAGTGGAATATAGTGTATAATTAAAAGTGGAGTTAGTACTATTAGGAGATTATCTTCTGATGCGTGCCAAACAGATAACAGAGATGGTCCTGTATGTTGTTTTTATGTATCACAGTAGGCTAATGATTCACAAAACTTTTCGCAGTATGCTGTCAAAACATTTGGTTCGACATCGACTGGACGTTTAAGCGCTGTCTATTAAGTTTCATTCTTCTTGAGAAAGTGAGTTTTTCTAATGTCCCATATTTGCAAATGATGTGTTCTGTTTGGCCCCACCCAGGATTTATATGACATTTTTATTGTGTGGTTTCCTGCTGAATTTCATGGACAGCTTATCGTAACTGGATCAACTCGATGGGCCTTACTCCGACAGTGAATTATCTATACAGTGATCTCACAGACGGCATCATTCTGCTCAAGCTATTTGACGCAATCAAACGTGACACTGTGGACTGGACACAAGTACATTCCGAGCTGTGTTCCACTGAAGCCAAAGCCAATTTTCAGAAATTAGGTGAGCCCCAGAATGTGCAATTAATTTTACTTTGAACAAGAATTAAATATGGTTACCTTCTTATTTGCAGTAAAATGTGTGGAATGAAGATAAATTAGCTTTACCTAGCAAAATGACCCGAAAATTAAAAAAGTGAACGCAAACAATTTGATGTTCCATTACTGGGTAATCATATCCCTGACAAAACCATTATTAACCCAGTCAATCAGAAACCCGAATAGACTATTGCATGACATTACAATTTTGGTGTTCTCTTTTGCAGAGAATTGCAACCACGTTATTCTGTTGGGTCGAAGATCTGGCTTTAGCCTTGTGGGAGTTGCAGGGGCTGACCTGAGTGAAGGAAAACGTTTAATGACATTGGCCTTATTATGGCAACTTATGAGAGCCTACACACTGTCCCTGTTATCAAGGCTAACACAGGTGCAAACCAAAGAATCAGGCGGAAGAAATAGCAGAATGCTCATGCCAATTGCTGAAGATGAAATTATTTCCTGGGCAAATGATAAATTGAAACAAGCCGGAAAATCTTCCAGAATCTCGACATCTATGGGGTTCTCTGATCCCAGTCTCATTTCGGGAATCACTATAATTGACTTGATCGATGCAATTCGCCCCGGACTTGTGGATTACAATTCAGTGCTACCTGGTCGATCAAAGCAAGTAGGTTGTCATTTACATATCACATATTATATATTATATATATTGTCTGCGTTTTAAAGTTTAAATTTCATTATGAAGATCAACTTAAAATTTCTGTAATTTTCCTTGCTTATTCTTCAGGAATTAGGGTAACTTCTCTGGCAACTCTAGAGAAGGTATGCGATAAAACTGTTCACTATTATTAACGGAGATGTTTAAAATATATTACTAATTCACCAAAACGACATTTTTAGTATCACCTTTGAGGATGGAAAATGAGGTTAATTAGCCCAATTTATTAGCAACAAGGTAATATACTGAATTCGAGAAATTCGACAGCGGTAAAAGGGACTGACACTCACAACCACCGGGTTACTCTAAAAATGAATTATACCATAAGGATACCATCGGTTAAGTTAAGCTGCAGCTGGCGGATTTATTTTTCATTAGAATTTAGTGATAATAACGTTAAAATGCATTGCTTTATACCTGCAGCATTCGTCATTATACATGTTACTTTAACCTATCACCACCTTAATTGAAACTAGGTAAATGATTAACATCTATATAAGAAGTGCAAAATAATCAAACAGCCTTCACGTTTCCTTTTTAAATCGAACCAATTTTATCCAGTATTTCTTGATTATATCGAACCTTACTTACTTCAAAATACTCCGTGATTCCTGTCCTAATCAACTTTCAGTTAGATAAATACTTTGAAATTCAAAGGAAGTCAACTCCATATTTGAAATGTGTTCTTGGTGCTATGTTTACATTATGTAGATCAGTATTCCCGGTGGGACTCAAACCCAGGCATGGATGCTGCATGCGATTTTGTCTAGCGTATGCTGCATCGGTTAAATTGGGAAGGCTGACTGTGGTATAGCAGTTTAGTTTGTTAATTAATTATTTAATTAAAGTTTTCCAAAAAGATTGAAGAAAGACTTACACAGAAAGAACTTTCATATTTAGGTTGCTTAGATATGATCATATTCTGAATATTTTTTTATTTTAAGTTCAATCATCGTCTGGCTATCGATTTTTTGTTTTCTATTCCAGGAGCAACTGATAAACGCTCAGTACGCTATCCCTATGGCTAGAAAAATCGGGGCTTCTGTTTATGCCGTTCCAGAAGATATCGTAGAACTTAAGGCTAAAATGATTATGACAATATTTGCCTGTTTAATGATCACCGATTTGGAGGGAAGAAACGCGGTTAGAGCTGGAAGGAGACCAACAACTCCAGCTGGATTAATCGAAGCAAAAGCAAGATCCGACACGCCTTCAAAATTGATTCAAAACAAACGAGTACTTGATGATCAACTGAATTCCTTGTCTAGTCCAGTTGCGAAGGGAGAGACACGCAAATCGGACGCGGAGTCTGAGAAACTAGAAAGTGTAACTTTGACCGTTCCGATTCTACAAAGGCCATCCGCGGAGAAGGTGTATAAGAAAACCTTGAATTTCACCCTGTCTGATGCCGGTCGTTGCTTGTCACCAACCCGAAGCACAATATACACAAGATCTGGTCCAGCTGGAGATTGTGCGGATAAGCGTGATCAGTCACCAGCACAACCGTATAGGAACCGCGAGATCCGTGGTTATTCGGACCGACCTCCTCAAAGAGATAGATTTTTCTCCCCCACTGGATATAGTACGAACTATGTCGAAAGGACTGGTTCAAGAGACCATTCACAATCTCCAGGAAGGAAAGATTACACAAATTTATCGAAATCGGTGCCCACAATCAATTTAATTGAACGGAATTCCGCTGACGTTCGGAGTAGGCAGCGAATTAGCCGACATCACACTGTATACAAAGATCAGGACTTTAAAGATCTCGCAGACATTCCACCTCCGGAGCCATCTACCGATTTTAAAGAAAATTTCGGTGATCTAGGAGGTCAACTGTCATGGAAGAAATATACTCACAAACAAGAGGAGAGATATAGCACCTGGCGACATGAGGGACATTCATATCGCTCACACGGAGGTGGGCGATTGTTCTTGGCTACGCAAAGCAAAAAATAATTTACCACGCATATTTCCTCTTACAACATTCCATAGTCTTATGTCGCTGAAATAATTTCTACACATTGATCTGGTTCTGCATGATTTTCAAATGGAATGAGCATCGAATTATCAGACCTTATTGGTTTTGCGCTGAGACCCTATCCACCTTTAGATAATGCGTGTATAACTCTTTCGCACAAATGTTTCTTATTGTGATACTTAAATCGTTTTAGCTATATATTTATGCTCGTTTGTCCAGAAAAAGTATTTTTCCTTCACTTCAACGCACCAATAATCATCAAATAACAAATATTATCACTGTTGATATTTTAAAATAATTTGAAAATGCAAAGAAAACACTCAAAATAATACCAGTATACATCTATGTTTTCGTTTATTGCTGTTAGGGGTATAGGTCCCTCGGGATATTACATCAGTCTTAATGAAAGAATCAAGTATTTGATTTACAAAAGATAGAAATTCATATAGAGTTATTTGGTTTGAAGGAGATTCTAAGTCCCCATGGAAAATCAATGCCATGATGGAGCACTTTCACGATGCTGTTTCACACAGACTCATTCGGAACCTAAGACGTTCTGCATCGCCATCAATTAAAACCAATTTAATTTCACAACGTACACGAAAAGATGAATAGGCTCCATAGGAAAGTAATTTATCGTTTTAAGCCATTTATCTATAGAGAAAACTCTCAGACCAGCATCGCGTAACTCTTTGCCTGCATCAACTAATGAAATTAACAAACATTCAGAAACGCTTCATTTTCTAAAAATGTCTAATCTAGATAAGTATATTTCGTTTAAGACAACTTACTCTTTTTAGAGATGAACAAGTTGAACCGATGATCAAGTTTTAGTTAATCATTTCTGATCCCGTTAGGTCAACCAGGTTTCACATCATTTGTGAAAGCTCATTTACGGAGGGGTACCAGATAAATCACCAATAGATGAATCCATCAGTTTACTTCTGGGAGCATGGAGAATCAGTTCGATATCTATTGTTTTCCTAATCGAGATAGGTGACAATTGACAGGGGTGCACATCGTGAGAACAATCAGATTGAGTTGGGTAAAGAAAACGAAGACGAAAATGCACTGATTTCGTCAAATGATAGATTAGTCCGCTTCGGCTCAGGAACAATGTGCAATCGACACATGGTTGTCCCTTTGGATAGGGCAATTCATTCGTCTGCCCGGACAGACTCATTGAGGTTGACCGAATTCGTCCGGAAGAAATAAACTAATTAACCCACTAATCTATCTGATATATTGATAAATGACCTGATTAGATCGGTAAACATTACTCGCTACCTTATTGAAAAACGGTCTCTTTTGAGTTGAAAGTTAAATTGTCAAGCACATAATTAAATGATTGCTAGGACTCGCGTGGGGGTCAGTATGTAAGCTAATTTTACGGCAATGACTAGATTGCAAATCACAAATTGAGCTCTACTAAATTAGAAAAATCGAACATAGTTTTGAAACTGTGTAGTGTTTAAATAAAAGAGAAAAAACTCTGAGAACCATACTGAGCAAGTGAATACTTCACTGCTTTTTGTTAGTTAGTTTCAATAAAGTCCTCCGGTGTTATACATAAGCAGGTAATTTCGACCGACCTTATTGCTTACTTATGGGCACACTACCTGTCAGTAACATTTGCCCTTACGAACAACATCATCAAGAGAAGGAACCACATCTAATGCTTGCTCACATATATACAAAGAGTTGATCTAATTTAGTATTGGAACATCTGCAATGCCCACAGCCCCGTAATGGATACATACTTAGTTTGACCAGTTTTTGAGTTATACCGTTGCATTTCCCGACAGCAGTGTCTCATTAAATTGAATGTTTTAAATGAGCTTCATCAACTTTTCTTCTATGAAACGAAACAACGGATGATCAATGTATTAATCAAATAATTGGACTGAAAATAACCCCCTTTCATTGATGCAAGTGTCTGGATACAGGATTTAATAAAAGTAGTCAGGTGCTTGCAGTAATTGACAATTGTGTGAAAGCCATTTAGTGAGAAAGAGAAACCGCTACACATCATTGCCTTTGTTCTATGATTGAGCCCATAGTCTGTTTCAGAGCAAAATATTTTATTGCTCACTGTCGTTTGTTATGGTCAACATCGAACTCTGTTACCATTTGGTAAAGATTAGACATAAGTGTAAAAGGATGAAACCTCATCAGTTTGTCGACAACCGTCGTCATAAATTATCCAGATTGCCTTCCATCAATTTTATTTTAAGTCTTGACAACTAAACATTGTCACTGGCTCTCACCTGGTAATAACCTTGATAAGGGAAGGTTGACATCTCTTATACTAGGAAAGAAGAATAAGAAGTACTGCCTATGAAGAAAAAAATAGCCTAGGGCATTTAAACTGTTCTAATGTCAACAAAGTGCGATTTTCCCTCTTTCCTCCAGAGCCACTCTCGCAGTGTAGGACAATTTAAAAATCTCACGCTGAACGTGGATTATTTAATTTGATCGTAAAATTTAAGTCCTTTTCTCCGAGTCATAAATAGCGTAACGTGAAAACCCGGGGACCATTGTAAAGTTGTTTGAATGAAAACGCTTGTCATCAGATTCATGAATGCATGACTTCACTTAGGGGCACCCCTGAGACATCAAAGGAAGAATGAAAAATGAATACCCATTCGATCACCAAATCACACATCCTACTGTTTTTACCTGGTCCATACAATATTTGGCACTGCTTCTTGGTGAGGTGAGCAACATCCAAGTGCTGGGTTCCAAAGATTAGGATTCGGTAGGTAACATCTTGGAGTTGATTACCACGTAGAATGGAGTAGTGGAGGACTAGGAACAACTAACCGTCAAATCCCGAGAATTTCGCCATTGATGGCACCCAACGACAGTAAAGATGCTGTTTACCGCAACGATTAAACCAACAGCAACATTTTTATCACGTTTTCCACCGCCTCAGAAGGCCACTTTTAAGTTAATTAAGTCGGTTTTCTGAAATCCACAAACTTAAAACATCGTGTATATGGCTGTAGATATGCATACAGCTGTTACCATGTTTAATGAGTTGTTTTTGTTCCGTTAGTTGGACAAGTAAAATGACAAAAGAGGACTTCGATTTTGAAAATACCTCCTGGATTTAAGGTTGCAGGTTTGATCAAATTGACTTAATTGACTTAAACATCGTCATAAAATCTTCTATTTTTGTTTATCACCCAGTCATCAAAATCACATAGTAGTATAGGTAATTGGATAATGACTGAAAATTTAATAATAGTAAGTTGTTTGATACTGAGACGTTTTTTGATAGCTCGTGACAGACTTTTGATGGCTAGTCCCAATTTTTTTGAGGAAACAAAACTGATTTTATGCTCACTTTAGTATAAGAGTAGCTAAACATCTTAGTGGGCTCAATTGACAAGTGAAATAGCTTACATAAAGCGTCATAACATATACTTTAGAGTGAAAACATACTGCATCTCTCTGTCCAGGTATATACTTTCGGATGTTTAGGGAAAAAGCAGCTTTATTATACAGCTGTGAGTAAAAACGATTCAAATTCATCCGCTTCTTCAGCAAATTTTAGATATCCCTAAAATCTCAATGGATTTTAATTTTTGTTGATCGAAAGTAAGAAAAGTAAGAACTAATGAGTGTCCACTAACGAACCTGAACCGTACCCACCAGATGACAACTTTGTTCCTGTAACCTGTTTCCCAGTGTACAACAGAGTTTCACTATGCTAAGTGATTTTGCAGAGTTTGTATCCGTCGGAACAGATAGCAGGTCGCTTACGGTACACAATCATTAGTCTCGTGTTGAACATGGAAGGAAAAACCAGTTTTATCTCAATTAAACCTCTCGGATAAATCAAGAATTCAGCTTTGCCCCAAAACGCGATGTCATATTTTCATCAATAATGATATACTTATGTATTCATTATGTATCAATACTATTAATTATACCTACACCGAAGTATGTTAGCATACTCCGGAGGACTATTTCGGTTTTTAGCCGGTTGTCATTGAACCTTTTGAATTTTTTCAGAGGTTAAAATTTTGATTGTTATCAGTGTGATTATTTAAAACCTCCCTTCACATAATTGAGACCATTTTTGCTCACGCAGGAACACCCCTTCATTTAACTAATCAAAGCGTCGAAATATACGTTCGAATGGGCATTGTGCTTGCGTTCTATTCGTGAGGTCCGAGTTTAGTTCCTCTGTTGGGTCGATAGATTCGCACTGCAGGTAAAATCCAACAAGGTCGAATCTGCTGTCCGGGGCCTCCTAGCTTTTCAGTTTGCGCATCATTTATACGACGAATTCGTTATAAAATATTGAAATTATTTTGCACTGGATATTATTCTGTTCTGCAGTTTCATTTTTTGAAAATATCGACAAACAGATCTTTCATATATTCAAACATAGTGCAGTTTAGAATTTGCACCTCCACGTAATATCCTTAACCAGACTTTTCAATTTTTTGATTCAATTTAAAAATAATACAGATTTTTCTGCACCAAAAAATTACACGTGAAAAAATAGCAATTCTTCGTACCCAATGACGATTCAAGATTTTCATTCACACTAGACAACTTAATCAAGAACTTTTGTACTTAACACGAGACTTTCATTGAGTGCTGAAAAAGTAGTCAGTTAGAAATATAATCCTTCTGTTAATGAGTTTCGTTTACAATACAATGAGTCTTCTCTGGAACATAAAGGCTTTTTATTTAGATTGAGTGTTTTACGTCAATTATTTTAGAAAATATTAGGTGTAAGTTTTATTCAACGGATAGATCAGAAAAGTCCAATGATCTAATGGGGAGTTTTTTGGCTAACGAGTGGCCTCCATCTCTTCTGAACTCCAGACGATTGCAACAGCTGTACACGATACTGTTTCAGCTTAATTTTATTTAGTGCAAAAAAACTGCTAAATTCCAAAGTGCAACCAGATCTCAAATTTTCGTCCCATGAGACTAACTATATCAAGCGTCATATATT